TCGAGATTATAATATTATTTTTCTCGTAATATAATACATAATATGTTAATTGGAATAGAAAAATGGCATCTATTATAAATTTGTTTGAAAATATTAACTTACTTTATTTAATAATAACGACGATTAATGATAACAAAAAGAAAATAAGATTTAATATTGCTTCTTTATTGTTTTACAAAGAAACAAACGTGTTTAATCACGTGATATAAATTTAAAGGAACCAAAAATGAATTTCTTGTGTAATGATGAAGAAGAAGAAAGACGAGTACTCGAGTGATATTCGATTACTTGTGTTTGAAATGCGCGATATATTTGATCAACAAACCAAACTGTAATTGACTCGTCAGAAAAACAATAACATTGACAATGATAAAGACAAGTGCGCATAAACAATTACTTAGTGTTTCGATAACCGTAACAATCAACATCAAAGAATTCTTGACTGACAAATAAATCAACTGCAGAAGTCTCCCTTGAGTTCTACTAGATTATTTTCTATTATTTTTCTTTCTTGTTCTTATGTCTTTTTTTCAATAAGTAGCTATCTATTATTGTCTTCTCTCTCTTTTATTCGCTTTGTTAATTAGTATTTTATCAGAAAAAAAGGAAGAAAAGAACCACTTTGGTGTCTAATATTCGAGCATTTTTACCTTAAGTCATTTTCTTTTCTTCAGATTTATACAATACTAATAACGTAGAAGATCGTTACTTTTCGTTAGCAAAATATGTTGATCGACATTCTTTGAAATAATCAATTAGATTATTATGATATGTATTTATTCAGCTTAAGAACAGCATTAGTTATGTACAAAAATAGACAACATAATTATCAGAATATTAATAATTAGTTATGTTAGGTACGTTTCAATAGGAACTTACTATTAAAAGAAAAAAAACTAAAAAAAAAAAGAGATACTAAATGCTACAGTTTTCATTTATTGATAGAAAAATTTATTCGCTCTTATAGAAGAAGAACAACCTTGTCATCATATCCATCATATCTTATGACAATGTCAAAACCATATCATTACTTTTCGGAGAAGCTTAATCATAATCTATCTATAATGCATCATACTTCTGAAAAACCTAAATTAAAAAGTCATTTGATTTATATAAACAAATGTTTTTATTCATCTACATCATATAACGTGCCATCGAAAAGCATTTAGACAAGATGTTTGTTTACTTTTAAATTGCTAGAAAGTATTTCTGACGAATCAATAGTTATGAGTTCGAATGCTCTTTTCAAATATAGCCTTAGAAACTTTGTTTAAGTTTTTGCTTGAGAGTGGTAGAATAATCATTGATAAAGTTAAAAAACAATTGTTTGAACGGAAAATTATTTTATTTTCACTATTTCGATATGAAGCTAAATGTTGAGATCTTGATTTATATACTAATTAGTTTGTAGAGCAGAGACTATTTTACAAAATACACTATTTGAAGTTTCCTTTTCGTTTTTTTACAAAGCACTTCTATTTTCAGTTTTCTTAGATACTCATTTTTTGAAAAAATCAAGAATCGTATAACATTAGAAGAAGAACTTGAGAAAATATTTGTAGCTTTACTTGAGTAACAGTTATAATTTAGTTCAATATTACGGTTTGTAGAGAAATATACACTTAATAAAATGATTGACTCCAATCATTGTTATTATGTTTGAAAAGAGACCTACAGGTAGAGTCTGTTGGGCTCGAAGTTTTCGGACCCAACTCACGGAAAGTTTTCAAACCTGCGTTCACAACTAATTCGATCAGGTCTGCTAATATGATGAACAAAATATATTGATTTACAATTAAAAATACAAGTCTTTGAAAGAGTTCGTCACTACTCTTGAACAAAAAAAGACACGACATTTCTAAGTTCATATTCAAATTCACGTGATAATCGATACTGAAATACATACTTTCAAGCAAGCTAAAATGAACAAACATCTTCAATGTAAAACATCAACCCATAAGTTTCGTTCAAACTAATTTTTGAGTTTTTCAAAGATAATTTTACTACTCTCGAACAAATGTCGAGACAAAAATTTCTAAGGTCATACTTGACAAGAGCATTTCAAATTATAGCTTTTGACTTGTCGGAAATATGTTTTAGTAATTAAAATAAGTCAACAAACATCTTGTGTGAAAACTTTTCGATCAATCGTTATATTATCGTAAAATTAAAAAAGTTATTCATGCATCGTCTACATTTTTATTTGTTAGCTTTTCAACATGCTTATAATTTCAAAGCTTCAAGAAATTAATCACGGCAACAAAAAAAAAGTAAGAAATGTTTAAAGAAAAGTTACAAAAGAAAGCAAAAAACGTCGTGTTTGTTATAAAATATGGACGCAAAGTTTTTTTTATTTATTTAAATTTCTCCTTCAGCAAATAATGACATAATTTGTGGAGCAGCTGAATCAAAACCGACAACATCAAGCATGCCTTTATCATTAGGATCAGCAATAGTAAATCCATTTGATTGCATTCCAACAACAATTAATTTTGCATTTGGACAATTCATTTCTTGACGATATTTCTGTAATGCTGCTGTTGGATGTATATTACCAAACCAGGTTTCACTATCAGTATAAACCACAAATACATCGATTTTTTCTAAAAAAAAAACATCGATATTAATTTTAAAAAAAAACAAGTATCAAATAATATAATATACCTTTATTATCAAGAGCCCAAAGCATTGGCAATGCACAATCAGTACCACCAAATGAAATTGCACGTGTAGTTGTCATGACATCTTCAAGTTTAGATGCTTTTGAAAAATCAACTGGAATAAGATGATCAGAAAAAGCTACTACCTAAAAAGAAATATTTTATATAAAATATTTCTTTTTATTTATATAAATTAACTTACTTTTGCATATGGTTCTGTACGAACTGTAACCATACACATAGCACATGAACCAACAGCAGGTGTAATAGATGGTGAACCATTAATTGTACCACATGACATACTACCACTAACATCAAGTCCAATTAAATAACGTTGATTAGTAGGTTTAACATATTTAAATGAAAGGTAAAAAGCTTCTTCCAAAGCATCTTTTACTTGTTTACTAACTTGCCATTGTAATTTTCCTTTAAAACCTTTACCTTGTTTATATGTTTCTAATGCTACAAGAATATTAAATGGATGAATACGTGCACGTTGTAATTGTTCACGATTTTTTAATCGTTCAACAACACGCTTTTCTGCGTCACTATTTTCACTTAATAAATCAATTTCAGACATTTTACCTAAAAAAAAAATAATATGAAAATCAATTACTAAGAAAAATTTTAAATGATATTACTAACCTAAATTTCGAATCATAGCAGTTAATGGCATTTTTTCTAATAAAACTGACCAAATAGATTTTGAATTAAGCATATTTGTTGGCATATGTTCTCGAACAAGATGATGTTGTCTAATAGCTGTAATAAGTTCATCTTCATTAGTTGATGTTTTAGCTTTTTCAACAGTTTCCAAAAAATCTTTTAATTGTTCTATGGTTACAAGTTTTTTATTATTTGTTTCATCATCTTCATCATTTAAATTTCCTTGTTGTTGTTGTTGCACTTGCTGTTGATCTTTATCAGTTTTATCTTCAGTAGTATGATCACCATTTGTTGATTCTTTTGGCTTATTTAAATTTTCAATAGCTTTTTGCAATCCATGAGTGATATAATCAAATAGGAAACATAGTAAAGCATCGTTTGTACTTGGATGTGATAAACGAAGTATGTCCCGATGCGAATAACCTTCACGATTCTGATATTTTGTTATGGCCATAGCTAATTTACTTGGGTTTTGTTCTGTATACCATTTTGATACAGCTCGACGTTGTGCACGACCCCAATTTTGACCAAGTGCATGAGCATATTTAATGAACCTAAAGAATAAATAAGAAAAAACAAGAATAGATATTATTAATAAAAATAATAATTGTATTTTACATGAATAAATGTGTTGGAATACGACAGATGTCAGATAATGAACCATAAGCAGCGCGTTTTGTTGGTAAATCAGTAGATTTTGCACAAAGTGCTAATGCAAACATGATAGGATTTTGTTTTGATGTACGTCCCTCAATAGAATAAGTTTTAATTGTTTCAACAACTTCTACACCACGACCATTTTCTATTAGTTTTAATATTGATTTGGCATTTTCAATGCCAAGTTCTTTTTCACCTTGATAATAGGTGCCACCTTCACAACCCAAACAAAGAAATCGTCGAAGACGTTGCATATCATCTACAGCCCAACTAAAACCTCCTGAAAAATCAAATGTTTAGAAATTCAAATAATAATAAAAATAACAAAGACAAATATGTTCATACCTGCATTATTTTGTACTTGATCATTACGTAATGGTTCCGATTGTGGTATATTTTCAGTACTCATGATACAAATTACTTAATAAAGAGAAATAAAATTAATCTGAAAAGTAAAAAGATATAAATTATTAAAGATATTTAAAAAAAGTCTGTTTTTCTTGAATCAAAACTATAAAGATGTCTCAAGAAAAATTTTCTCTCGTATCCAATTACGTGTAAACTTAAATATTTCCTCTTTCGAGTTCATTATGTAATTCATGACAACAATTACTTCAACTTTTAAACTTAATATTTCTTCCTGTTTGAGAATATTTTCAACTCGCATCATGACTTGTTATCGAATAAACTTAATCATGCTCAATTAAAACTGGTATGTGAAATATACAATTCGTTCGATCAAGATTTACTGCCATGTTACCTACATTACCAAGAATTCATAATGTTGCTGATCGATGTATATTTAGTATCATTACGATACGAATCTATAATATTTTCATCATGTGTAATTTTTTGTGAATCGCATCGAAGTGAAACCTTCAAAGAAGGATAAGTTCGACAAGCTTGTCGAATTCATGAGTAAATAGGACGCAAAGGTTGAAGCTATCGTACAAGACGAATCCAAGGACTACTAGCCGCTAATCCTTCATATGGACATTTATCTTTCTTATTCGGATATCAATCAAATGTATAAGATAATACTAAAGTTTCACCCATTGAATGTCCATGAAGTACAGTTGGGCAAGATGTATATCTTGGCGTTGCTACACTTATTAATATATCGAAATCCTAAAAGATTGTTTCACTATTTTTAATAAATACATGTTGTCCATCACTTTGACTGTGACTCCAAAGATATGTGGAAAGTTATAAAATTCAATTAAATTTTCATACTGGCCACTATGTTCACTAATACCATGCGTAACAATTAATAAACCATATGGTAAGTTGCAATTTTTAGCCAGCCAATCATAATAAGCAAGTGAAAGGTCATCACGAGAAAGTATTGAAAAATTTTTCATATTATCAATATCAATTGATCGTTAAATAAATGCGCACATAATTACAGTACCTTATATGACTCGCTTGCTAACATTATATTTTGTGTTGATCCATTTGTTTAATAAACACTATAGGTGGATATTTCCGTTTTTGAAAAAGGGATAAAATGAAGAAAAAGTGAGCGCATGGTCATGACAATATAAAGGGTCACAGCACATTTTTTTTTCTTATTTCAACAAGTAAAACAGATCAAATCTATGCAGCCGTATCATCTATTTTAATCTAAACTACGTGCTAATATTTCTTCAACTGAAAACTTGATAGCTATTCGAATGTGTCGAATGTGTTCTGCTTCGTAGATATATATATATATATATATGTATGTAAATATATTAAAAACAAAAAGAAAAAACGTATTGCATAAGTATGACTCAATTTGTTTTTTTTTTCTCCTAACGCGAAAGAAAGAAAATAAACACCTTGCAATATTTTCATCGTTTTCAAGGAAAGAAACGAAAAATTTCTATTTTCATTAGTACCTAAACAGTAATAACATAATAAGAATAGACGATAATAATGATTACATGGTAAAAAAACCATATGGATAAATAAGCAGCAATTGCTTGAAGAAAAAAAACTGACGGAAGAAAAACAAAGATAGGAAAAGAAGAATATTCATTGGATGAATGTGTTCTTGCTCCATCTCTCTTAAAGATAATGAAAGATGGTGCAATTCTGTAGGTAAATATTCATCATAAAGTATTATTCTTATCATAATTACATATAGTTATTACACAATTTTCAATAGAAAGATATTTCTGTAAAAAATATTTGCGACAAAAATTGTTCCATTGCCATGAAATTACAGAGTAAATTTTATTATGATTGTGTAATATCGTTTTATGATGCAGTTTCATATTCTTACGAAATTTTTACAGTAGACACATCATTATTGATCGAGTGTAATTTATGAATAAGAAAGTATATTTTTGCTAATTACTTTGATGAATAATTGAATTTAAACTTTTGAAATCGAAGAAATGGGAAAATTTCTGTTCATGTACTGAAATATGTTTTGGAATTCAGCAACTCATATTCATAACCGAAAAGTTGTCAATAATCAGATTGAATTGACAAGGGAATTTTTTCAAGTGATTGATTGTTTTTAAGTTCGAAGTTTCTGTATAAGGATAAGTTGCAGTATAGTATCAAAAACTCCTAAAGAAGAAGCTCTTGTAGTCCTTCTCTGAAAGGTTATAAGTTATTTTATTGAAATTTTAGCTTGTGACATATTATATATCCACAATTCTGAATGACGATATTCCATACTGAAATTTTATCTAATTGTAAGTAAAATATCCAAAAATTGAAGCTCAAAATTTTATTCTTTTTTGTACGAGATATTAAGTTTTTAAATTAAATATCTTATGAAAAATTCTTGTAACAATTAGGTCTTTCCGTAATGAAAATCTCATTGAATTGGTTATAACCTCAGAAAAAAGGGCTACGGAAATGTATTTTTTTAAGATTGTTCATATAATACCCGAGTCTACCTTATGGACGAATTTCGAGCTCAAAAATGATTACTCATTGAGAATGGTACTCTCTCAGGTTGGATAAAAGATCGAATCATAAATATTTTGAATGCCAATGTCTCTTTTCTTATATCAACCAATTTTGAAATGAAGATTAATAAAAGAATCGTTTACAATTCTAGATCTCTATTTTTCATAGTTCTAAATTATATAATTGCAGATTATATCGAAAATATGACATACAAAGATTCTAAATGCTCGATGAATTTAAAACTCAAATAATATGAAAAATTATTTCAGTTTGTGAATTTTTAAATCTCTAGGAAAAATTTATTCAAGCGTATCTCAGATTCAGATATTCTATTCTTTCCGACTTTTGTATGACAATGTTTTACTGAATTATTGAAGCAAAAATGTTGAAATTGTTTTTATTCGAACCAATTTGAATATTTACCCTTGATTGTAAAACTCTTGACATAAATTTGATTATCAAGCAGGAACTTTCACGTATAACGATAAGATTTTTCATGAAACTGCAATTTTTCTCTTGATAAAGTGACTATTTTCTAATCCATATTACAACAAAAAACTCGATGTAATTTATTTTCTATCACGTAATAATATATATGTGTACATATAATATTATGACAAATGAAAGCAACCCTTGATCGAAAACGAACGAAACCTTAACAAAAAGCAAGTTTATTTTTTTTCCAAAAACTTCATCCATGAAATGTTACATTTTTCACTTTACTAAAGAATAATCTCGTTTGATAGAATGCAGAAGTTCATTATGAATTACATGTATAAAAACTTGATTCGTACTAAAATTATATTCTTGAGTATCTTTGTTCATCTGATTCAAAATCAGGTTAAAAAATAAATCTATCTTAAAGATACGATAGTCTAATATTCACTCAAAAAATTGATATTGTTTCGACAGCTCAACAACTAAATCAATACGTTATAAATAAAAACGAAAATGAGATATCTAATGAAAACAAGATCTCTAAATAAGCCTGACCAATCGAACTGATATTTTGACTATAAATAGACTCCAACGAGATTGGTAGAAATCTATCAGAGTTTGTTCAATGTACTCTCTTTCCTAAATGATTACAATTTTAAATGAATTGGTTAATCTCTAATAAGGTTTTGATGAAAAAAATCGAAGCATGAAATTTCAATCTAAAAATTACAGTTTAAAAGGATATGTTCTTCTTTAAATGTTGGGTATACAAAAAGCAATCATATGTCAATATTTTCAAGATTCAGTACCTCGAGAATAATAAATCCTTTTCGGCTAAAATTTCCTAATTTGGCTTTTTCTCAAATAATTTCCCAGAGATAATAGATTCAGTAAAGCTATCATAACTTGAGAAGGACAGTAGGTGGAGATGAACATTTGTAGGCTTTTATTAGCCTCGCCAATACCTACCTATGGGTATATTATCAGTTCGATTATTGAGTCACACTGCCAAGCATTTCCTCGTAAGTGTCTTATGTGAATAGACACACTTTTCGATATCGAAATAACTTATTCTTCTAGCAGTATGAAAATTTTCTTTTTCAATCATCTACGATTTCTCTTTACATTGTTCTGATTATATTGAAAATTGTATTGAATCTTTTAAAAATTTGATCATTTTCTACCGATTTATCAAACTGTCGGCATCACGAGCTATTTCTTCAGGAATTTCTAAAATATCTCTAAGAGCTTTGATTCAGTTACCTTTCAAAAAATATTAGTTGTATCAAATGAAATGAATCATAATAAGAAAAAACAGATAATTACAGATTTATCCAAATATCTTAACAAGCTCTCCCGTAATAGTTATTTCTTCGAGCGTAAATCATATTCTTTTCTGTGTACTATTCGATGATAGACGTTTCAATCCGATTGGTTTTCACACTCCAGTAAACAATCGTGCCTGGTCATGTCTATTAACAAGATCATTAATCAAATCATACCAAGTACTGAAATACTGACACTTTGTTTGTAGTAAAAAAAAACGACTGTATTGAATTGATGTATTAGATAGAAAACCAAGTCGTATATATATAATTATATTCAAATCTATTCCAAATTATGGCAAATAAAAAAAATTACATAAAAAAATAAGAGAATTATACAAAAATTGTATAAAAATAAAACAAGAAACAACACATTTACTTTATTATTTGACATCTGACGTTGAATTGCATTGAACGTGAGCACCATTTCATTCATTCTTTTTTTATTCTTTTTTTTTATTATTTATTTTTTTTGCATTTTTTTAAAATATTTTTAGATCTTCTTTTTTTAATATTTTAAAATATTTTTAGATCTTCTTTTTTTTAATATTTTCAAATATTTTTTGTCCTTCTTTTTTTTATGTTTTGAAATTTTTTTCTTTTTTCTTTTCTTTTCTTTTCTTATTTTTTTTATGAAATGGTGAAAAGGCCGAATATTGACTCGCAGCGAAGACATGTATGTTCGTGCATCATGTCCTATAGTTCTTTTTTTTAAAAGAAAAACAAATCAATTAGTTTTCCATGAATAAACACGTAATCAAAAAAAAACAAAAGAATTTTTTTTCGCGACTTTTTTCATCTGTTTCATTTTGTTTTCTTAATTTTTTACCACAACAATGATAAAGAAATAGAGTACAGAAAAAACAACTACAATTGACAGAGACAAAAAAATTGAAGTAACATTAGGTTTTCCTCACCGAACGAAATAGATTGTTATGTATATATATATATGTATTGTTTTCCAAATATTATTTTTTATCTATTTCGTATCTTTGTTATATTGTTAATAAGGTGAATAGAAATAACTTGAGCGACCACGAGCACTAATAAATAAGAAATAATCATAACATATTTATTTATTTCAAAATGAATAAAATTTTATACCGAAACATAGGTCGGGCAAATCGACCTCGATAAGCTGCAGGTACATAAGGCATATAGGCTGCTGCGCCACGTGGAAATCGACCACGTCCAAAGCCACGCAATGCACCACGAGGTGGTCTATCAGTTGTTGAAACACCTGGACGATTTGTTCGTTTTTCAATAACCTAGATTCTTTTTTATTTTAAATGAATATCAAATGACATGTTGAAATTTACTTTGATTTGTCGTCCTTTGAATAATGAATCGTCAAGTGCAAGAGCCGTTTGTACAGAATCTTTATCAGCAAATTCAACATAAGCAAAACTAAAATAAAGAATCAATCGTGATTTTATCATCATTAGATAGTATAAATGTTGGTTCTAATTACGGAAAAGAAAATCCTTTATGCTTTCTATGAGAATCTTTCTTGTACGCATTGCTTCAACTAGTCTACGTCCTGTTTAAAGATGTATGAGATCAAGACTTTTGATCTCGGCTCCGATAAATTTTTTCCATCTGTTCATGTGATAGTCTCGATAAATCTGATCTGAATACGGGAGCTTCTTTTCTAATGGATCGCCGCTGTTGAGTGGCTATGTTGCTTGATACATACAAAAGATACTTTACTCAAACGTTGGTGTCTACAGTCATTTAATGACTTCAAACAATTGACTAGCGGCTGCGTGTTTCAAGTCTCTCATCTAATAGCATATTGGCTACTTTGCGACGTTCACCTATTCATCCGGCTAGCCACTATGTATGAGGAGTTCAAGAAATTCAGCGTAATAATTCTGCGTTACGCTGGCTTTGTATGCAGAGTTATATCTAGTGTTAGTTGTAGAAACGATATTGGGCGATTGAGTCTACTACTAGACAACACCCCATACCTCAAGGTAGCTAACAGGCAGCGTATTCTTCCTTTTTTTTTCTCTACTAATGATTCTGGTCTCGATCTAGAAAAAAACTATTTTAGAATTTATTTCTATCACATCGAAAACAAATATTCAATACTTACTTTCTCATTTACTTAGTTGACAACTAGTACGTTTTCGGTCATGTCTCGGTGATTATATTTTGATTTATAAGATAATTTGCTTAAAATCATAGAATATGTCAACTATACTCTTTAGTTTCGATTAAAACAACTTATTTCTTTAGTATCAGTCTCGATCCTGCACATCGCTAGTCCTGTTAGATATAATTTCATATATATATATTCACTGATCTAAATGCAACTATTCTCTATGGGTATCCTTTTGGATACGTATAACTTCGATTGGAACGCGTCGAAACTCAACAACACAATCATTCATCCTACGTAGTAAATATCTACATGCTGATCTTCAATTCTAGATATCTTGATTAATAAATCATTTTACAAGTTGAAACTCTGTGAATATATTTCCTAGTCTTTAACTAGATGAAATTGAGTCTAACATATATCAAATTCTTACCCTTTCGGTTGTCCAGTAAATTTATCGCATAAAATAGTTACACGATGAATTGATCCACAGCCATGAAAATGATTTTCAAGTTCTTGTGCTGTAGCTGAATAGTCAACCTATATATAGACATATATAAGGATTAGACATAAAACTATGTGTCATTGTTTTAAAATACATTTCCAACATAAACTGATTTTTGATCTGCTTCCATTTTTTCTTCAATCGTTGGAAATTGTGCTAATTACAAATTACATTCAACATATTAAGATAAAAAAAAAAACAAACAAACAAAATTTATTGACATACATGTTCCTGTTGCACCAGGTATTTGCATTTGTTTTTCAACTTCAAATTGCATTTGTTTTAATTTTTCTGCTTCTTCTTCCATTTCATGTATACGTTGACGCATTGTTTCAATATCAGTTTCATCATTCATTTCTGATGTATCCAAAAGTGAATCGGAAAGACTTTCTTGACGTTTTGGACTAAGAACAACATCAGGACTGGTTGGAATAATTCCGTTATTATTATTTCCATTATATGTTGTCGTACTACTTGGATCCATTTTTGAAAATTAATAAATGATTAATCTGTTTGACAAATGGGATGAATAACAATGAATAAATGAAAGAGTGCAAAAAAACAAATAAATAAATGAAAAGAATAAACAATGAGTTTTACTATTGGCTGTTTATTATTTACATAGAATTTAATTTAAAAAAAAGAAAAAATTTAGATAAAATTTTATTATCTTTTTTTTTATTTAATTATATAATAATTCTTATTTAATCTCGATAGAAATCGTTCAGCAGGAAAATGATAGGCCATCAAGTTAACCAATACAAATAGAGGTACTATCTTTTTTTTTTGCTTAACTTCATAGTTCGAATTGAATCGATGTACGTCTGCCCCAGTGTTTCTAATGGAATTCTAAAACAAAATGTACAGTACACGCTGTTTTGGATAAGCAAAGTGTACAGCAAAATGTACACAGACATTTACATCACCGAAGTGAAGCGAAAGAGCAAAAAAAAAAAAAAAACGAAAAACTTCTAGTATGAACAAAGATATTTTATAAAATTTGCCAGAATAATGTACACGCTGTTTTTTAAGTAAAGTGTACAGCAGCGTGTATTTTCATAGCTGCAGATGTTTGTACATTTTGCTTCCGCTGTGTACACTTGCCATTAGAAACTCTGGTCTGCCCCATTTATGATAACTGATCAAATTAGAACTCAGAATGTGTTACCGCAGTGTAGTGTAAGACGTAGATTAAGTTAACAGAAGATATATGTAATTCCATCTGTGATACGTCCAGGCACGTGTTCCAAAGTTCCTATGATTGTTTCAAACCCAACTCGATAATCTTCATTTAATAGTATGATTAGGTTTTTCATCCGACAAACCATATTTCTAAAAATTTTAAAATATTAATATTTCATTTTGAGATTTCATTGTACACTCGAAACTTAATCCGTACGATATGAGTGTAACAGAATATTACGAACTGTGTTTTTCCGTTGCAAACTTGATTGTTTATGAATTATGCAGTAGTTAAATCAGCTGTTTCCTTAGCGTTTGCTAGTGAATGATATTACGTTGGTACTAATGAAAATCAGGTACTAGTTAGCAATTTGTTTTTGATTTTCGTTAAATGAATAATTTGGGATACGATCGTATTTTTAACTTGAATAACAGAAATAATTCGAAATAGAATACTTAATATGATTATATCTGTATCTTGTTTAATAATGTACAGAAATATTACACTATCGATGTCATCAAATCATTTACATCAACTTAATGAGAACTGCAGTTTTAAGTAATTATTCAATAGTTGATGCTTTGTATTTAAGACTGTATCTTTATTAATAATAAAATAATATACAATTTGAAAAAAATAAGAATAAATTAAGTCAATGAATGCAGTGGGTGTGTGAAGAGAACGAGTACTCATTCATATGCACTCTCTAGAAGTTTTTGAAAAGACTTTTAGGCATGCCGCAATCATATTCATGTCAGAGATCTGTTCCTTCCCATAGAAACATGTCAATATTTTGGGATTTTGGAGAATATCGTTGGTCGTATAGAAAATCTAGTGATACATTAGATAGAGTTCATCGAATTCTACTTTAGCCAAGAATGGAAACTCTGATACATATTCTTAAGAGAATCACAGACGAAGTTATTCAAATCGGCTGCTAACTTCATTTACAGTAGTAAAAGTTCATAACACTAGCACATTTCAGAGAATGAATTGTAGTCTCTATTTTTCTTCGATAATCTATTGATGAAAATCTAAATTCATTACTAAGAGTTTTATCGTTCTAGTCGTAGGTTTGGTCAAAAAGACTTTTAAAAACTATTTTCTTCATTCTTATTTTACAGTCTTTATTTGAATATAATTCGCTATCTATTAGGTGAAGTATTTGCCATTATCAATGTTTATAAATTGACTTTATCGAGTCACATTCATTATTTTAATTAATAGATGAAGTTTTCTTTTTTCTATTAGTCCATTGAATCCGTATTAACTTTTCAAACAGTCATATTTCTTAATTCAGCACTACATTTTCTAGTTATGATAAGGCCTTGTGCTTTTGTTTCACACATTTGTCATTTGTTCAAAGAATAGTCTAATTCAAAGGATTGAAGCGTTATTGTATAAATTTTTCTACAAAGCAGACAGACGTTTATTTTTCGAAATATCTCCACACATTCTCTAATGATAAATACAGAATACGCGTAATCAGACGATGATCTTCGTATCTTGTGTTGTCATATACTGTCATGCAATTTAGTGTACCTTTCTGAACTGTGTTTTTTCTTAGAAAAACCATATTACACCAAGGAATAGGATTTGTTCAATGTCTTAATTTTAGCGACAATCAAAAAATGCTATCATTTGTTATTTTTCCAATTGTACATATGAATAAATTTATTTGTATTTTATTCGTAATAGGTTTTGACAGAAAATTGTCCGCACAAAACAGTGTATATTTATTTACCTAGTAATTTCTAATTATCCATAATATGATTTCAATCGTATTATACTGAAATCAGAGCACTACTGCTATTTAGTGACATCATCACCCTCGCGCTTATTGCTGTGCTAAATATACCAATCGGGTATGAAGGTGTCACTAAATGTAATGTAGAAGAGCTAACTAATAATAATAAATTTTAATTGGTTAAACTAAATCATCATCTATGATATGATAAACGCGATGTTAACTCAGATTAAGCACACTTCGTTATTCATATGAATCGGTAAGTGAGCTTCATGCTGTTTCCAGTATATATACATGATCTGAAGAGTCACAGCTTTTAAATTTTTATTGGAGCAACGTGTGCGTGTGTGGTTTCTGTCAGCTGTGACACGTATATATTGAATAGTATTTACTCTAGTCTGAAACTTTACCACGTGATAATATTAACAATCGTTGAGTAAAGAGTTATTTTCATATGATGCTATCATCTATTCTGAATTTTCAATTCATTTTCCATCTATACTACTATGTAGTTAGTTGCGTCAGAGATAATTATATCCAATTACAGACGGATTTTATACTAAGAAAAATTTTTGTGAAAAAATGACAAAAATAATAAAACAATGGCAATCAATAACTGATAAGAAGATAGAGAACGTTTTAAATCGATGCAATCCACTTTCTTTCTTTTTAGTTATCATTGCTACGGGTACGGAAGTTCTTGGTCTAAATATAGGAAGAACTTTTCCAAAAAATGTTGGAATAGATCGGTTACTTCGTGAAAAACCATACAAATCGATTATTCATACAATGAAAAGCACATTGAACTTAACCTTTATCGGATATTAGCGTGATTTGTAAATAGTTATTCCTCTATTCTTAAAAACAAAATATTCAAATATTTCAAAATTTCTTAATAGGCTTTGCTATTATTGTGTTATTTCCATTGAGTTGTGACATAAGTTCTGCAGGTTTTGTTGTTAATGAACAAATTTATTTTACGACAAAGATATGCAATATCAATCAACAATATAATCGCCATTATTTTCGAAACTTGGGCCCATCTTGCTAACAATTGTTCAATCAGACATTTGCAGAAACTAGCCAGTTATGATCCGAAAAAGACAATAAAATTTTGTTGGTTGACAAAAAAACCTACAGAACTTATGTTACAACTCAATAATAATCATAGATTAATTGTTGTCTATAAATCTGATGAGAAGGGAATTTGAGGTAAAGTTGAAACTATTCGTGAGTTTTATTAGATAAGTAATTTTTATTTTTCATTTAAAACTCTAATCAAATCAATTTTTTTTAGATTTAAATAAATGTAAATTAAGTTCAATATATTCATGTTTGATATAATTACACGTCGTCGCATAATATTCTTTCTTTTTGCGTTTTTTTTTGTTATTTTAAGTCTTTTATTTTTTGCTCGTATAATCCCATCATATTCAAAATTTACATCATTAGAAATTAATGATAAACAACAAATTAGTGAATGTTATTTAACTGAACCAATTGATATTTTAACATTATGTCAAAAATGTACATCATATGAAGTTCGTTCTAAAGCAAATGGTTGTTTACCGACTGGTTTTAAAGAAATAGTACTCTGCTCAAAATCCAATATAAAAACAGCTCGTTCATGTCAAATACCTATTCATGTTCAAAAAAAACATTTTTGGTTGTTTGAAATTTTTATGTTTATTCTTGGATTATTTGCTATAGCTAATGTACATTTGAGACAAAAAGTTTTAGATAAACAAATGGTTGAAAAAATAAAAAGACAAATTGGTGAAAATGATGAATGATTGGTAAACGTTAAATTTAGATGTTAATTCTAATGTTGAAATATTTTCTGTAAATAATATGGTGAACTATATTTTATTTTTATTGAATAAATATTTAATTGATGCTCAATAGAAATTTAATTTATTATGATAAATATAATTTTTGTGCATTGATCTTTTTTTTTCTTTATCCCGAATGAATAATAGATTAAAATGATGAATATTGAATAGTATTTCTTAAGAAGCTAAGTCTTCTTTAGTAATTTCGACTAGGACACTTGCAAGCCAGTATGGGTGTGAGGGAAGAGGCTGTGATTGTGAATACAACCGTTAGTTCTCTCTTCATCCATAGCCATCTGAACAAGTGTATTAGACACATATAATCAGATTAGTGTATGATTCATTGATGTGTTAACACAGATTAAATTCTCTGATTTAGTTGTTTTCGTTAATATTAGTCGTGCAACAATGCTCGCCTGCAGGGTCAATGTGAGATACATGAATTAAACAACTGATTATGCAGACAAGTAAGTACGAAATGATGTATGTATGTATGTATTATTCTCGATCGTACTTATTCTCTTGACGAATGTGGACAACAATAATAAGAAAAAAAGTTTAGTTTATAATATTTAAAATTTTTTTTTCTTCTTGTGTTTCTCTGGTACGTATAATAGTTAATAGACTTTGTGACTTTGCTCACATTGGAAAGAGAAAATTATATAATATTTGTATCAAGGCGTGAAGGCATTGTTATCAATACCCTTTGATTAAACAAAGGTGTGTTAGAGGCTAGTAGCCTCAAGAAAGTTGCTATTATCAGTTTCTTTCTCTTATATATATATATATATATTGTTATCTATTATCATCAAAAAAAAATACCAGCCAAAATTTTGATTGTGATATCTTTTGCATGTAAGTATATTGTTAATATTTATCTACAGATTCATTTTTATTCAAAATCGTGCTACATAACCCCGGTGTTCTCGACTCCTCTTTTTCTTTCTCTTTTCTATAATCACCACACACTGTAAGATTTTTTAGCGCGGTCTATTCTTAATAAGAACCACTTGTCTTTATTAAAGTTGTGGTTTTTAAACAATGTACATGTCAACATATTGTGTGTTTATCCTTCTTGGTGTTACTCTTTGCTTTGGAGTTCCAATTAAGAAAGCGAATAAATGTGGTTACGATGTGAGAGAATTGAATAATCTTAAACATATGAATATGCTATGCATGAGCCTTTTGTTTATAGGCATGTAACTTAGGTGATCCATCAAAACTAAATGTTCATATCGTCGCACATACACATGACGATGTTGGATGGTTAAAAACGGTAGATCAATATTTTTATGGAGGTATGTCGAGTTATTTGAAACTTTAGTTAGTAGAATATAACTATATCAAAGTTTTTTATTAATAAAATACATATAAGAATATACCAAACTCTTGAATCTTATTTCTTGAATTCATATTATATTTTATTTAGCTCGTAATTATATTCAACATGCCGGTGTACAATATATACTTGATTCAGTTGTGAGAGCCCTTGATCAAAATCCTGATCGACGTTTTATTTATGTTGAAATGGGCTTTTTCTGGCGTTGGTGGAGTCAACAAACAGATGCTATGCGTGATAAAGTCAAACAATTTGTTAACGAAGGTAAAATTCCTAAAATAGAAAATATTTTCTTTTTTTTTGCAAGATAAACCCTTTTTCTTTTTTCAAAGGTCGTCTTGAATTTATTTCTGGTGGTTGGTGTATGA